TCTCCATCAAGACCCGCGGGCGCAGATAGTCAAAACCAGCGGGCGCGGCCTATTGCTCTTCAGAAAGTTTCAAAAACTGAAGATGCCTAGGAAAGGACGCAACCTCCTTACTTGCGAGCGCGACCCTTGGACCCACGGGCGCAGCTACCTGGGTCTGCGAATTTTCGCCTTTTTCCTCAAGCATTTCCGAAAATGTTTTTTTTCCCCAATTCTAATTTTCGCTCCCTATCTTTCTCTAAAACTTCACTCCTCTTCAAACCCTAACTCCTCCCACCTCAAATTCTCATCAATATTCATAAAAAATCATCACATTTCCTCACTTTCCTTCAAGTTTTCTCACCCAAAATATGAAATTTCACCATTCAAGACCCCCATTGTCGGTGTTCTTCTTTGAATGAGTATAGCTCATCCACCATTGAAGGGACCTTGAAGGTGGCTTGGAACTCTTCTTCAAAGGACTAGTTGGAGTAGTTTTTGGCACTCATTGTTGGTATATCTCTTTTAAACTCTAGTTTTCCTTTGAATTTGAAGTATCTCTTTTGGTGAGAAAATTTGTTATCTTGTGAATTTCATGTGGGGAATTTTAGATGATTGCATACCTACTTTGTGTTAGTTCATCTTATTGAGCATGGTTAATTGTTAAGTTCTTGTTGTCCTTGTTAGTTGTTGTTGGATTATATTGCTTGGTTGAGGTTGTGCTTGGTGATTCCGAAAGTGTACTCATTGTGTTGGATTTTTGAAGTAGGGGACTTGTTGTTGTGAGTTGTTGTGGTGATTTGTTGAGGTGTTTGATTGCAATTTGGTGTTGGTGAAAATGGTTCTTGGTACAAAGAAGAGAAAGAGTGGGAAGAAACTTGAAAGTTCATCATCCACAAACCCCCAACAAAATGAACAACCCACTCCTCCACCTTTACCACCCCTCAAATTCCACAATAAAAACCATAAACCCATCTATGACATTCTCCAAAACCGGAAACTAAGACCCACAAAACACTACCACCAACCCTCCACCTCAAAACTCGACATTGACGACGATTGTTGGTTCCTATTCAACAATCTTCGGTTAGGCTCATTTGTGACAAGTGCCTACCAAACCTATAAGGAGCCCACTCTTAAGTTCCTTGCCTCCTTTGAATGTCATGCTGCAGGGGATAAGGACCTCGCCATCTCCTTTCAACTTTTCAACAAAAAAGAAACCTTCACCCTTCGCCAATTTAACCAACTATTGGACTTTAACCCGGACACCGATATGTTCTTCCCCGAGCATGAGGTCCTTCACGATTATAATCCCCTTTCATGGTGGAAGGTCATCTTAAGGATGGACGTGATGAGTGGCATTTATGCCACCGTTTCACCCTCTTTCATTAGAGAATTCCCCCGATTTGCCACTTGTTTATGCCTCTTCTTAGCACTTTTTATTCTATTTTAGTTACTTTAGCTCCCTCTCGTGTTTTTCCCTTCACTTTTATCTTTTCTTCCACTTTTTACCTTTTATTTGTGTGTTTTGATAAGTCCTAGCACTTGTGGGAAAACTATGGATTGCTAGATGGAGTGGAGATGCTAAGGAAGCTTGCCAAGGAAGTAGAGATGCCAAAAGGGAGAGGGCGCGCTGATATGCAAGGCCGCGGGCGCGGGCTTTTTATCTGCGGGTGCGGACAGGGATGTCCTGAGCAAACGCGAGTTTTTGGAGATGGCGAGTCGCGGGCGCGGCGTAGAGGCCCGCGGGCGCGGAGTAAATGGCTACGGGCGCGGCTATCTAGGTCTGGCGAACTTATTACCCAGCAGGGAGAGGGCGCGACAGCCTGTTTGGAGAGCCCTCTCCCTTGCCCATTTTCCTCATTATAGTATAAGACTATAAATAGTCTTTAGCTTGAGTTTTTCATTCATTCACTATTTTATTGGCATAAAAAACATTTGTAGAAAGAGAAAATCCATGTCTTTTAGAGAGAGAAAACATTAGTCTTCAAGATTCAATCTTTTAATCAAATATTCAAGCTTTCCTCTAGATTGTTGCAACAACTTTGATGATTGGGTAATCCTTCAACTTTTATAATAGTAATCTTTTCTCTTATTTCTCTAATACTTAGTTTTATTGTTTTTACTCATGCTTTCCTCATAAATATTCATGCTTTATTAGTTTCTTTGATTTCTCTTTGGCTTAGAATCATGCTAGGTTGCATTAGGATTGAATACTTGTTTAGTTTGGTTGTCATGGCTATTTTCCTTTCTCTAGCTTAGATTTTTAGCTAGGGAAGGGGGTGAAAATCATGTTTATTCGAGTTTCTATTGATTATTGATTGGATTCCACCTTAAGTTGATGATTTGTGCTTAAATATGCTTGGAGTTATTGTGTACACCTATAACCCCAATGTTTTAATCCTAGATTAGATGCATGAGAATGATCTAGTTTAGGGTTGATTGATATCACCTACTTTCTTTGAGTAGTTGCATGAGAATGAATTGCTTTGAGTAGAGTTTGAACTCCTTGGTGTATTTCCTTATTGGTTTTCATTAGTGTCTTGTTGGTCATGATTGGAACCCCCTCTCCCTAGTGCTTTTTGCCGTTGATATCGCTATAATCTTGTCCTTTGTTTTCATTTAGAGTGCCTAGTTCAATCCCTTCTTCTTTAGTTTAAATTGGTCTCGTTTTTGGTAATTAGATTGATCATAGAAATCTTCAACATCAACCCATAATACCCCTTTTTCTCGTCACTAGCAACTTGTCCTAGATATCGTATTGATTGTGCTCAACCCCCGTTTCCTTGGGAATCGACCCTAGCTTGCCACTATCTTAAGTAAAATTGATAGAGTTGAGTTAGGAGATAAAAATTGTAAATTTGATCTAGGATAGTAGACCAACGACCTATTGTCAATTGATCAAATTTTTGGCGCCGTTGCCGGGGAGACGACTTGTTTTGCACTCTTAATTTGCGCTATTATTGGATTTGTTGCTCTTTACTTTATTCTTTTTTCCACTTGCTAGTCACTGCTAATAGTTTGCTTAGCTTTGGTGGATGCAAAGAAGATCTCAGGGACCTCCTACTCACAGCATTGATCACGAGATTGACCGCACCTTGAGACAAGTCCATAGACTTTATCAAGAAGTGGGGCGAAGTCTTGGTGCTATTTTTGATAGTGAGAGTGATTCTTGGTCCTCACACTCTCAAAGCGAGGAAATGGCGGGACAAAAAGTGGATGTTTTATTTTGTGAGTTTGGTAATTCGGAGGATTATGAGCTCACCGGTGGGATATTGCTACCCGTCACGGAGACCAACTTCACCATCCATCCACAATACACAAGAATGGTCCAAGAGGAGCAATTTTCGGGTTCCCCAAGTGAAGATCCTATTGAGCACCTTGATAGATTCCTTGAGCTTTGCGCTATGATACAAACCAATCAAGTTTCTCAAGAATACATCCGAATGCATCTATTCCGACAATCCCTTGCGGGTAGAGCAAAGAAGTGGCTCAAGCAAGTCAAGCCTAGTTCTCTCATAACATGAAGGGAGATTGTCCAAGCATTCTTGAAAAGGTTCATTTCCGAAGAGAAGGCCGCCGAGATGAGGAGGAAGATTGCATCATTTGAATAAGAGGCGGATGAAAGCCTTAGTGAAGCTTGGGAAAGGTTCAAAGAGTTGGTGCAAGCATGTCCCCATCATGAATACAATTAAAGCCTGCTCATGATGTTCTTCTATGATGGTTTGGAACCTATGTCTAGAGCTAACTTGGATGCGGGGGCGGGTGGACAATTGATCAAAATCCCTCAAAACCAAGTTGAAGCAACAATCGAAGAGGTAGTGAAGAACTACACTTTAGGCGCTAGAAGGAGGAATCCACCGAAGAAGGGTGGAAAGTATGAGTTGGAAAAGGTCGATCAATTGCAACATCAAATTGAGCTTTTAACAAAAAGGCTTGCAAAGTTAAACACTAATGTCAATAGTGGTGCAAGCTCATCCCAAGTCAACTCTTTCTCTTGTCAAAATTGTGGAGGTACAAACCATGATACATCTTAAGGTTTGAGCCCGGAGCATGTAGCGACATACAATACAAGGCAAGATGGATATAGGGGAAATGGCGTTGGAGTAGCTTGGAGACAACCACCACCCGGATTTGCAAACCAACCCCAACAATGGAACCAACAAGCTCAACAACCATACAATTCCAACTCACATTACCAAAACCCTCCTCCATACCAAAACCAATACCAAAACCAAAACCCAAGGGGAAACTACCCAAGGAACCACCAACAAAATAATCAACACCAATACCAAAATCAAAATCAAGCGACTCAAAGGAGTCAAGAGCAAGCATCGCAACCCGATTCTACCCAAACCCAAATTCTTCAACAACTTCAAGCTATGAATCAACAAATGCAAGAGGTTAAGGCTCATAACAAGATGGTTGATTCACAACTAGCTCAATTGGCCGAGAGAGTTCCTTTCAACTCATCTTCTACTCTACCCGGGCAATCACAAACCAACCCTTCAAACATTGTGAAACCCGACTCTTGAAAGGCAATCACATTGAGATCGGGCATATCCTATGAGGGTTCCAAGGAGGGGGATGGCAAGGAAAAGAAGGAAGGAGAAGAGAGTGTGAGTGAAGATAAAGAAGTTAAAGAAGAGAAGGTTAAAGAGAAAGAGAGAAGTATGGAGAAAAAGAAGTCTAAGGATGTGGTGACATCCTCAACTTCTAGTGAGGCTAGAAATCTTGATGGACCGGTTCCTTTTCCCAGTCGACTTGCGGAGAGAAAATTGAATGACAAATTTGCAAAGTTTCTAAGTGTGATGAAGAACTTGCACATAAGCCTCCCTTTCATCGAAGTTGTCACACAAATGCCTTCATACTCCAAGTTCCTGAAAGACATTCTCACCAACAAAAGAAAGCTCAATGATGAGCTTATCTCTCTCCCCTATCAAGTGAGTGCACTTGTTCAACATAAGATGCCCAAGAAGCAAAAGGATCCGTGAAGTTTCACCTTGCCGGTTAAGATTGGGAACATGGAAGCTAAGGGTGCCTTAGCCGATCTTGGAGCAAGTGTTAGTTTGATCCCTTTATCCATTGCTCAAAAGCTTAATATTGAGATGATCCCCACAAGGAAAACCATTCAATTGGTCGACCGTTCGGTGAAGCTACCTTGTGGTGAGCTTGAAGATTTCCCTATTCAAGTTGGGCACATCTATGTGCCTTGTGATTTTCTAGTGATGGATATGGAGGAAGATGTGGATACTCCCTTGATTTTGGGCCGTGAAGCTCTTAAGACCTTGGGGGTGGTAATCAATTGCAAGAACAACACCATTACATGTGAGGTAGCCGATGAGAAAATTGTTTTTGAATTCTCTAATTACTCAACACCCCCATGGTTGAGAAGTGCTATAGGGTTGATGTTGTGAATGAAGAATTGGATCGTTTGGGAAGGTTTGTGATGAGTCCTCAAGATCCAATGGTTGAAGCTCTTACATGCGAAGAAGAGTACCACTCTCAAGAGGCAAAGGAATTTGTCATGACCATTTAAGAGGCCAAATTGGAGGAAGAGGATGATCCTAAGGATGAGGAGCTCAAACTCAAACCCCTTCCCCCCATCTTTGAAATATGCTTATCTTGGAAATGAAGGGGAATACCCTATTATTGTCAATGCTACACTTGATGGGCTTGATTTGGAAAAATTGCTTGTTGTTTTGAGAAAATATAAAAATGTGATAGAGTATAGCATTGATGATATCAAGGGTATTAGCCCTTCTTTGTGCATGCATTGTATTCACCTTGAGGATGATCAATCCACCTTAATTGAGCCTCAAAGGAGGTTGAACCCCAACCTCCAAGAGGTTGTCAAAAAAGAAATTTTGAAATTACGTGAAGTGGGTATAATCTATGCTATCTCCGATAGCAAGTAGGTTAGCCCGGTTCACGTGGTTCCAAAGAAAGGTGGAATGACCATTGTCAAAGGAGAAGGAGGAGAGGAAATCTCCACCCGGACGGTGACCGGGTGGAGGATGTGAATTGATTATAGGAAGTTGAACAAAAACACCAAGAAAGATCATTTTCCTCTCCCCTTCATGGACCAAATGTTGGAGATACTCTCCCATCATGATTTCTTTTGCTTCTTGGATGGATATTCCGGCTTTTTCCAAATTCCTATCCATCTAAGAGATCAAGAGAAAACTACTTTTACATGTCCATATGGGACATTTGCATACCGAAGAATGTCATTCGGGTTATGCAATGCTCTCTCAACTTTCCAATGATGCATGACTTCCATTTTTTCTGAAATGCTTGAGAATGAGATTGAAGTTTTTATGGATGATTTTAGTGTTGGTGGCTCATCTTTTGACACATGTCCTTATAACCTTGAAAAAGTTTTGAAAAGGTGTCAAGAGACGAGGTTAGTGTTGAATTGGGAGAAATGCCATTTTATGGTCAAGGAAGGTATTGTCCTAGGCTATAAAGTATCAAAAAAGGGCATTGAAGTTAACTCGGCTAAGGTTTCGGTGATTGCTAAGTTTCCCCCTCCTACCTCCGTTACGGGAGTGAGAGCCTTTCTAGGGCATGTCGGTTTTTACCGGAGGTTTATCAAATTTTTTTTATCAATCGCCAAGCTCTTAACCGAGTTACTCAAAAAGGATGTTGTCTTCAATTTTCATGAGGCTTGCCTTGAGGCATTTCAAAAACTCAAGGAATCTCTCATCTCCTCTCCTGTTGTGCAAGCTCCGGATTGAAGCTTGCCTTTTGAGCTAATGTGCGATGCAAGTGATTTTGCAGTAGGTGCGGTACTTGGGAAAAAGAAGGAAGGAAGATCTCATGTCATCTACTATGCAATTAGAACGCTTGATGAGGCTCTAAAGAACTATACAACAACGGAGAAGGAAATGCTTACAGTTGTGTTTGCCATGGACAAATTTAGGTCCTATCTCATATGCTCCAAGGTGATTGTGTACACGGACCACATAGCAGTCCGCTACCTCATGACCAAAAAGGAAGCAAAACCGCGTCTTATCCGTTGGGTTCTTTCGCTCCAAGATTTTGACATGGAAATGAGGGATTAAAAGGGAGAGGAAAATTATTTTGCGGATCATTTGTCTAGGCTTCCTTTTGTGAATAAGGAAGATTTCCCAATCAATGAGGAAGTGGGATTTGAAACCCTCATGGCCATGGCTTCGACACCTAGCCCTTGGTACGCGGACATAGCTAATTATCTAGCTTATGGAGTTGTTCCTCCGGAGCTCTCTTCTCAACAAAAGAAGAGGTTTTTCAAAGAAGTGAGGAGGTATTTTTGGAATGACCCTTACTTGTTCAAGCAATGTGGAGATGGCCTTTTTTCGGAAATGTGTCCTGGATCATGAGATCGAAGGAGTTCTTGAGTATTGCCACACATTGTCGTGTGGATGTCATGGAGGAGTCGAAAAGACCGTGGCGAAGATCTCTCAATCTCTTATTTGGTGGTCAACAATGCAGAAAGATGCTCACAAGTTCGTTTCAAGGTGTGACAAACGCTAAAGGAGTGGTGGCATAACAAAAAGGGATAAGATGCCTCAACAAAACATTTTGGAAGTGGAGCCATTCGATGTTTGGGGTGTTGACTTCATGGGTCCTTTTGTTTCTTCTTGTGGGAATCTATATATCTTGGTGGCGGTGGATTATGTGACTAAATGGATTGAAGCTATACCCTCCCCCACCAACGACCACAAGGTGGTGCTCAAGCTTCTCAAGAAGGTCATATTTCCACGGTTTGGGGTGCCTAGAGTGCTAATTAGCGACGGTGGTTCTCATTTTGCCAAGAAGCAATTCGAAGCTCTCCTCAAGAGATATGGGGTTCATCACAAGGTTGGTCTACCTTACCACCCACAAACTCAAGGACAAGTGGAGGTTTCAAATAGAGAGATCAAGAACCTTCTTGAAAGGATGGTGAACAAGTCTAGAAAAGATTGGTCTCTCAAGCTTGATGACACGCTTTGGGCTTTAAGGACGGCATACAAGACTCCCATTGGCACAACCCCCTACCGGTTGGTCTATGGGAAGGCTTGTCATTTGCCGGTTGAGTTGGAATATAAGGCTTGGTGCGCGATCAAAGAGCTTAACATGGACATGTCCTTGGCGGGTGAGAAAAGATTGCTTAAGCTCAATGAACTTAAGGAGCTTTGATATGATGCTTACGAGAACTCGAGGCTCTACAAGGAGAGGACTAAGAGATGGCACGACCGACATATAAGGAATAAGAGCTTCAAGGTTGGAGACAAGATCGATGTTGTTATTCAACTCTAGGCTTCGATTGTTTCCCGGAAAGCTTAAGTCCAAGTGGTCAGGGCCTTTCACGATTACGAGGACTACTCCTTACGGGTCTTTTGAGTTGGAGGCGGAAGGGAACAAGTTCATGGTTAACGAGCACCGTTTGAAGCTCTACCATTGCAATGATCAAGTTGGCATAATTGAGTGCGTGAGGATCGATCCATTGGATCCTAAGCCACTTTCTTGATGATCATGTGTTATGGTCAAGCTAATGACCTCATAAAGAAGCTCTTCTCGGGAGGCAACCCGAGTTCTCAAACTTTCTTGTTTTGTATTTCTTTTATTTAGTCAATTTTGGATGATTTTTCTTTAGTTACTTATTGTGTGTGTTTTGCTCTTCTAATTGGTACTTGGATCTTTGGGAATTTGGTCTACAAAGTTGGGTTTGGAGAAGTTAAGGAGAAAGGAAGAAATGAAAGTGGAGATGCCCCGGAGAAGCCTTGGAGAGGGCGCTCCATCAAGGCCCGCGGGCGCGGACATCGCTATCTCATAATTTAAAGTTAAACAGGAGATGCCCAGGAGATGGCCTGGAGAGGGCGCGACCCTGGTACCTGCGGGCGCGGACAGAAAAAGCTGCGGGTGTGTCATTCCACCCCGCGGGCGCGGCATTGAGCATTTTAGAAATTCCCACAAACTAGAGATGCCAAGGAGCGGGCGCGACCCTAGGACCCGCGGGCGCGACACATAGGCCCGCGGGCGCGGCCTTTACCCCTGCGGGCGCGGCCCTCCGGGTCTGCGAATTTATTCTGATTTTCTCAGCAGCAAACCGAGACTCAAACTCACCTAAAATCAGAAACTTTCACCCTTTTCCCTCTCTGAAATTCACTCTCTTCAAACCCTAACTCATACTACATCAATCCCTCATCCTAAATCATCATATTTCAACAAATTCCCTCACTTTTCTTCAATTTTTCTCACCAAAAATTTGAAATTTCATCCTTTAAAACCCCTAATTTCGATACTCCTCTTTGCTTGGGACTTTCTTTCACCATTGGAGGGTTCTCGAAGGTAGGCTTGATTTCTTCTTCAAAGGGCTAGTAGGAGTAATTGTTGGTACTCGTTTTGGTATACATTTCTTCCTTACTCAAATTTACCTTTGAATTTGAAGCATGTCTTTGGTTGAGAACTTTTATGCTTGTGAATTTTCATGTGGGAATTTTTGATTGTTGCATGCCTCGATCTATTGTGTTCGTTCATCATCTTAAGCATCATTAATTGTTGAGTTGTTGTTTGTGTTAGTTGTTTGTTGTCATAGATTGCTTAATTGTGGGTTTAACTTGGTGATTCTTGGAAGGTTGCTCTTTGTGATGGTTGTTTGATTTTGGGAAATTGTTGTGGTGTATTTTTGTTGTTATTCGTTGAGGAGTATATCTTGGTGATTCTATCTTTGTGTGGTGAAAATGGTTTTCGGCTCAAAGAAAAGAAAAAGTGGGAAAGAACATCAAGGTTCAACATCCTCAAACCCCTAAAAAAGTGAACAAACCACTCCACCACCTTTACCACCCCTCAAATTCCACAATAAAAACCACAGATTCATCTGCGACAACATAAATAGAAAACTGAGACCAACCAAGCACTACCACCAACCCACCACTACAAAACTCGGCATTGACGATGATTGTTGGTTCTTATTCAACAATCTCCGGTTAGGCTCGTTTGTAACAAGTGCCTACCGGACTTTCAAGGAGCCCACTCTTGAGTTCCTTGCCTCTTTCGAGTGTCATGCCACAACGGATAAGGACCTCACCATATCCTTCCAACTCTTTAACAAAAAAGAAACCCTCACCCTCCGCTAGTTTAACCAATTATTGGACCTAAACCCGGATGCTGATATGTTCTTCCCTGAGCATGAGGGACTCCATGCCTATGAGCCCCTTCATTGGTGGAAGGTCATCTCGAGGATGAACGCTTTCAACTCCAAGTATTCCTTGGCCAGCCAAATCATGCACCCAGCCATCAGACTTCTGCATCGAATTCCGGATATTATGGCTAGCTATGCAGCCGGAGATGGGGCATAGAATGAACTTCGGGTTTCTATTTACTAAGTTCATTGAAGGTGTACTCTCGGGTACAAAGAAGCGGGAGATCCATTTTGGCGGGATGATCACTC